TACTTCCAATAACGATAAGTGCACTTCGATTTATAATAGATAATAAATCATTTGAGGCAAAAACCTCATCAGAAGCGCAGTCGTTGATAGAAATTTATGTAAATTTAAGACTCTTAGTACAGCTGTAATATATTTAGAAATTTTTGAAATAATGGGGCCATTGTCATTGTATCTTCAAACCAAAAATTTAGATATTTTGTTGGCATGGAAGATGATAGAAGATGCTAAGTCTTCTGTGTCATCGATAACTATTACATCAATTCAAAATAAAGCAATAAAAATGGCTTCTGATTTAAATGAAACACTTTCATATTTAAAGCTTCCGGAGAGTATCTGTGTACAGTATAATGATGAAGGCCAGGATGAACGTCCTCAAGAATCGATTGACCTTTATAGGGTTGAAGTATTTCGTCCTATAATTGATCAAATTATAAACAGTTTGTCGGAACGCTTTTCTGCGAATAGAAAGCTTATTTTGAATGTGCGATATTTGCATCCAAGGCATTTTGATGACAAAAATAGTAAAGGTATTTCTGAAATGGCCTTGGAAAAACTGGCGCAATTGGAAAATATATCGAGTGATAAATTACATCACGAATTGTGTTCATTTTCTAGTGTATTCAAAGATTTAATAGCAGAATTAAATGAAACGGACGATGATATCTTATGTACAAGTGAGGAGTCGAATGAAGAAGATGGAATACTACAATATGATAATAACTCGAAGTGTGATAAATGTAACAATTGTTTAATATGCGTGTATGAAATTCTTAAGAGGTACAATATGCATACAAGCGCATACACTAATTAATTTTTGGCGTATGAATACATTTTAACTTTATCATTTACGCAGGTTAATTGCGAGAGAACATTTAGCAAATTGAAAATTATAAAAAATAGGCTGAGAGCTAATATACGCCAAGAAAAATTAGAAGCGTTTTTAATGATGTCAGTTGAACGAGAACTATTATCGCAGATTGAAATAGAAGATATTCTTGTTTATTTACGCAAAGGTTCAAAGTTAATGAGAGATTTATTAACATAAAAATTTTATATTATTAATACATTTATTTAAATCTTATTTATATCTATTACAATATGATCTCTAATTTCTAAGTGCAACAATTTTATTCTCTGTGCAATATTGTATAATTGTTATAATTTTATATGTGTAATTAATTGATTTTATATATTGAGTATGTATAATATTATATTTAACATGTGATGTATGATTTGATTTTATAGTGCAATATCCTTGTAAATCTAATATAAAATATATATGTGCAATGAATATTTTTTTATATGTGCAATGAATATTTTTTAATATGTGCAATGAATATTTTTTTATATGTGCAATTTTTTAAAATAAAATATATGATTATCGTGTCATTATTCTTTTCTTTTTTTTAAATGTAAATTAAACAAGTAATAAAAATATCATAAAAATAAGGCCGCTATAAAAAAATGCCCACGAGGCCGTAACGTCGCCAGTCCGCCCCTGGGTAGAAATTGACCTTCAGTTGAATAGATCTTTTGATCGATTGATACCCATATCAAAAAAATATATTATTTACACACCCCCCCCACCCCCTTTAGGTCGCCCATTATGGGGCAGAGATTGACCTCCCTTTTGAATAGATCTTTTGATTAGCTATCGATTGATATGTATATCAAAAAAAATTATTTTTTACACCCCCCCACCCCTACCCCCTAGACCGCCCATTATGGGGGAGAGATTGACTTCCAGTTGAATAGATCTTTTGATTAGCTATCGATTGATACCCTATACTAGACATATCTTATATCATAAGGCCAAAAAAACAACATTGAAAATTAAAAAAGCAACGAAACTCCTGGAAAACGCTTTTAAAATAAGATTCCTCTTTATCACGATTAAAACGTGATAATACAGTATAGTTCTTTATCCTTTAAAAAATTGAAATTTTAAAGGGATCCCTTTAAATCCCGTGAAGATCCCGGATAGTCATGATCCCTTTAAAAATTACGACATATACATTAATATAAAAGCATGGTAATAATTTATTCCAAACAATATAAGAAATTTATTTATAAAAAGTAAGTAGACATATAGTTGATATTCCTCTATTATATATAATTGGTTACAAAATACTAGGTAAAATTCCACTTTTACAGGCATATTTGACAGTTAGAGAATATGTTACAGTTAATATTTTAACATAAATTACTAATCAGTGCTCTTGATAATAAATATAGCAACAATTTGCATACAATAATTTAACGCCATCTATTTATTTTAAATAAAAAATTATATTAAAAAAAACCCTTATATTATTCATCCCACAATGCCTTTAAAAGATATTTTCTGATGTCCTTATCAATATTTAATAGTTTTCTGTAAAATATATAATTCGCTATATTGGTAAAAATTTGATTGTCATATGATAATTGATAAAATTAGATATACTGTAAATCTACGACATATAATATTCCACTGTTTGTATTGTGTTTTAATTTTTTTTATTTAATTTATGATTTCATTTTATCAATAGTTTTATAATTATATTTTACTTTTATTAAAATAAATAAATTAAAATTACTCATTTTATAAAAAATTATATTTGATATATTATATTATTTAGTAATTTTATGGATCTATTATTAATAACTATAAAACATTTCACTTTGTCTTAAGACTTATTTTTGGCTTATATTCCATATCTTAAAAAATATTTTTGGTTGACTTTTTTTATATATAAATGCTTTTTTTCCAAGAATGTATAAATTATGATGAATAGTTTTATAAAAAAATATTAACTTTTACATTCTTTTTTTTCAAATTATTGTTTAAGATATATGCATACATTTTTGGGGGTCAGGGAGTGGGGGGAGGACTAAGGGGGATATTTTTTATTAGCTTAAAATGATATTCACAAAAGGTGATAAATTTCTGAAGGGGGGGGGATTTCCCCTTGCCCCCTCCTCCTTGGCTCTGCCTATGTTATGATTAAAAAGGAGTAATCAATAATGTTTTTGTTGATAGGCATAGGTTTTTGAGAGAAGTTTTTATCGTGAAAATCCTATCATGTAAATGCGGTATCTTATTACTGAATTTGTATATTTCTAAAAGCAAAAAATCGTCAGAAGAACTATTATATTATATTCAATAAATACTAAGTTAACAAAATATATTTGACTTCTGATTAAATTTACGAATATATATTACGACTCCTTATCAATATCTTTATCTGTAAATTCAAGATGGCGTATGAGCAAGAAAAATTGAATATCCTATTTTCTTGGTAAGGGCGAGTGTACGGCCTACAACTATCATCTCCCACATATAAAGTTGATTAAAATCAAATATATAGTTTTGTTAATTTAATTTAACAATAATTGAATAATTACACTCATAAATCTAGACATGAGTGGAGGTTTAAATTTCTCCGCCTCCAGATATTTTCCTGTTTTTGTAAATATATTTTAAACTAATAAAAAAATTTCTTATACACCCCCCTCTCTCTCCAATTACTACTCTCCCCAAAATGTTTCAATACCTAATCTCGTTGGGACATGTTTTTCACTTAAAAAATCGCTTATAATACAATCTCCCACCAAAGCCTACCCATATTGTTTGTCACATCATCTTATTTTTTATTTATACCTTTGGTAATATAAAAGTAATAAATTTTTCCATTCAAAACAGTATTATTCTTTATTTTGTTTTACCCTAATTGTAATTTATAGACAAAGCTTGTTTTTATATTTTATTCACTTGAAACTGGTCCTAGCCATTTTCAATTAGGCCGATACATGAAAAAAATATTATAAAAATACTTCGATAGAATTTTTTGTTTTGTTTGGTAAATTATTTGTATATAAGAACTCCCAAAAAATTATAAGGGTTATTAATTTATTTTTGTATTTTATCTTATCATTTTTATCAAATTGAATATATCATAATAGTTTTTTTTGGCATACTTTTACAATTTTAGTTTCAATAAATTCTTGATTTTTCTGCATAAAAACCTATTTTGTACGATGATAAAAATGCCCACTAAATCCGAACCCCCAGTTCCAATCTCCGACAACCCTGGGCTTTCAAATTCCGTCGATCCCTCTCCCTCCCCGATGGTTGGACAGCCTATGATACTTGCTCCAACTATTTCAATGCCATCATAAAATAAGCAAAGTTTGAAACAAATAGGAAATATATGTTTATTAGTTTGTATAAAATATAATAAAATCCATATAAATTAATCATTTTTTTATTATAAATGCTTCTTACAAAAAATATTATAGTCATTAGTTTTAGTTTATAAAATTATTAACTATAACAATCTTTCTTTCAAATTATTGTTTAAGAAATGCGCTTTTTTTTTTACACAGGGGGTGAGGAGGATATTTTTTATTAGCTAAAAATGATATTTCCTGAAAATAACATATTTCTGAAGGGAGAGGGAATTCCCTCTTGTCTACACCTATTATGATGGACTTAAAGACCTCCAATAAAAATTAATCAGGATAAAATTTTTCTAACAGTGCTCCCTCACTTAACAGAATTCTGATTTGGGTCGATTTTCAAAAATGACCTGTAGTCAAAATAATATTATGTAGGTCACTAGATTTGGCAATTAGAGGATCAATATGTTCAGCCATCTATAAGCAAAATCTCTAGGCTTAATATTATCTTAATCGGGCCATTTTAAAAATCGACCCAATTTTGACTTTTTAATTTATCTTTTAAATATGTATTTAAGTCTAGTCATTTAGAAATACCAAATTTAGTGAAAGCCAAGAAACGCCCCATAGGTCTCCATAACATAATGACTAATTAGTCATACGGGGTACAGGTAAACATGGGAGAGGGGGGCTGAGAGGAAGCCACTCACCCAGCCGTTTATACAGTTTAGAAATAAACCATCACTTTCACTGCATGTAGTAAGCATTTTTATTTTTAAACCGTTATGAAATGTCATGTGAATTTGAAATGTTTATTATATTAGTCAGTGATTGACATGTGTAGTCAGTGTTATTTTGATATATTTAGAGAATAAAAATAGGTCAGAGATGGAGAGTATGAGAGAAAAAGAGGAGTCTTTGAGAGAATATGCTTGTATTGGTGACATCGAAGGTACAACTTATTTAGCTAACTTAGGAATCAACGTTAACTCTCAAAATTCTAACAATGGATGGTAAAAAATATATATTAATAGCTTAAAGTCAAATTAGGACAGCTCTTCATTGGGCTTGTAAAAGAAATCATTTATCCATTGTGGCCTTGTTGTTAAAATATGGAGCGGATAAAACTCTCAAAAGCTTTCATAATCAACTGCCCCATGACCTAACTTATGACCAAAATATCATAAATCTATTGAACACTAGTATTTTAAATTATAAGTTTTATGATTCACTTTTTTTTCATTATAGCAGATAATAAAAAATGTAATATAAGTAATCTCAGTGATAGTGTTAACAAATCACCTGACAATTTGATAATTATTCCTAATTACTTACAAAACCCTAAATTTATTCATGCCAAACCACAAATAAAAGATAGATCATATAAGAGTAACAAGGAAAATTTTGACAAAACTCAAGATCTTAATTCATCAGATAAGGGTATCTATTGCCACTTTTGTGGAAATTATAATTTACTTAAAAATAATCAGATTCATAACTCACATCCATCTACAGATAATACAGGTCTGACATATAATTTTGTTTAAAATATATTTAGTCCCAAACAAATTAGAATATTAAAAATTTAAGTAAAAGTATTTATGGCTTTATAGTATTTTAAGCTAATAGATTAAATATAAGTTTATTTTAGAAAGCTTGTAATAATTGTATATTTATATAAAATACATATTGTTGGTTGAAGATCATAATACCCCATCTCCTCATTTTCGGATTTTCTGGATTAATGTTTTAAAACAATTGGTCATCCTATATGCAGTACCATAAGATGTATGAGTTTTTTTTAAAAAAAGTGTCTGTAAAATAGTAAGTAAACCAATTTCCATATATAATTTTCTAGAGAACTCAAATTTTTATTGGAGAAAGAATAAACTTCACAAAATGTGACAATAGGATATAAACATACCACCAATAGAGGTGTTTCATGTCCCATATCCATTTTTTTCTACTTTACAGGAGAGAATTTTTAAAAATTTCCTTTTGTATTTTAATTATGGAAAGACATTATAGAATAAATTTTTTAGATTATGCTTAGAATTTTAGGTAGGCAAGTTATAATAGAACAAAATAATATAGTTTTATTTAAAAGAATATGTAATATTGTTAAATTTATCTGCTTAAATTAAAATAGAACATTCTACTTTCAAAAAAATTATCTTTATCACCATAAAATCATAATTCTTAAATATAATGCAGTATTTTATTAAAGATTTTAAAATTAATTTTTTTTTATCAGAATCATGAAAAAATTGCATTCCTTTTAGATCTATAACTTTTTTTTATCAGAATCATGAAAAAATTGCATTCCTTTTAGATCTATAACTTTTTTTTATTAAGAAGATTTTTTTTCCTATTGTTAGTTAAGATATTTTCAGATGAAGCCAACTATATAAATTACATGACTTGATTTTTAGAATTATGATTAAGTATATGGAACATTATAATAATATTATATTTTAAAAATAGACATTGAATAATATTAATGTAAAAAATATTTCTTAACTATTTTTATCAGAGACCTGCAGGCCCGGCCCTAAGCCCAGCCCGGCCCTAAACCCAGCCCGGGCAGGGCCGTATTTTAAATTTTTTAAATATTACGGGCCTAAAAAAATTTTTTTTAAACATATCCGGGCCGGGCCGGGCCTAAAAATTTTTTTTAAAAATATATCCGGGCCGGGCTTAAGATTGTTAAACCCGGGCCTTAATATTTTTTATAAAAATTTTTACATTCTGAGTTAATGGTTATAAGATTATATTATATTATAGTTATGATTAATATAATATTGGGTGATGGTTAACACTACCTAACAACCCACAGATCGATCTAATTATTAATTTCCTGCAAATTTATTCAAAGTATTAATATATTTTTTTATAATTCATATCTAAATTTTTACAACATATTTTACCAAAACAATCAAATAAAGGAAAATCTTACATAAGCCCCAATATTCAAGTATTATTAATATATTTTTTTATAATTCATATCTAAATTTTTAGAATATATTTTACCAAAACAATCAAATAAAGGATTATCACTTCTTAAAGTTTGTAATTGATTTTACTTAATATAAAGCATTTTTTAATTGAAAAATTTGTTTTACACAAGTATCATTTTTTTTCTCTGTCCCAAATTCAAGCAATTACGTATGTAGTCAGGGACAGATCGCAAAATGACGGAAAACTATATAAAAGATTATATTAAATTACAAGAGGCTCAGGAAGTAAATGAAATACCATCGACCAGTCAAATTACGACTGTTGTTAAACAAACTGAATCGTTTTATGACAAATGGGGCGATGGTAATTCTGGTAATATGTCAATACCCGATGATGAATATTATAATTACATAAATAATAGATAAAACATTTAAGGTGGATAATTGTTAGAGTGGTGGGCGGCTCATCAAAGCGAATTTCCAATTTTAGCAAAATTGGCAATTCCTGCTTTAAGTGCAAGCTGTGAGCGGAATTTTTCCAGGGAGAATTCTTGAAGAAAGAAGAAGTAATCTTCAACCTGAAAAGGTAGATATGCTTCTCTTTCTTCATGATAATTTGTGAATTTTTAATATCTTTCTTGAGTATAGGGTTTCGTCAATCATGCTGGTTTATTACTTTGCAAACTGTCAAATATTTATTGCATTTATTATATTTACCTTGAGTCATGAAAGTTTTTAATCCAACATTTTTCATTATTTTTTTTTACAATATTATATAATACAATTATCTTCTTTTGTTAAAAATTTATATAAAATAAATTATATTAATATTGTGCAATTAGATTATATTTTCAAAATACTATTTATTATACATGCATTTTTTTAAATAGCGATTTATTTTTATTTTATAAATTAAATACAATATATTATATTCTCTCTCAAAATATTTTCCATTTTTATAGATTAAATATTAGTTTTATTTTTTTAAATGTAATATAAAATATAGTTTATGACAAATATTATTACCATTTTTATGAATATTAGTTTTATTTTTATAAATGCAATATAAAATATAGTATATGCTCAAAATATCCATTTTTATAAATAACAGTTTTATAATTTTTTTCAATATAATATTCTCAAAATATTAGCTTTTTACATGCATTTTTTAAATAATAAGCGATAATACTCGCTGAAAAATATGGTAAAATACCTCATAGGTGAATTTTTGTATATACCAGGTCGAATATAATTTTAAAAAATTCTGAGGGCCTTTAATTTTTAAATCCGGCGGGCCGTAAAAATTTTTTTTAAAATATCCGGGCCGGGCCTAAAAAATTTAAAACCGGGCCGGGCCGTGCAAATGGTACCTCTGCAGGTCTCTGATTTTTATAACTGATATAGAAGTAACAGAATAAATTTATTAAAAAAACATTTCACAAAAAGGTGGATATGAAACACTATAATACTCGGCTAAGATAATCTAACTTCTGATAGGCAAAATAAAAATCGTATAAAATATTTATTTTATATTCTAATTCTAACTAAATTAAGCATTTTTATCAATCTCTAATTAGTTTAATGGATTAGAATAATCACAAATAAAATGTGTTTTTTAAGAAAAATGGATACACATATGGAATATAGATATCATTTATATATTAAAATAAATGGGGAAATTTGCTCATTAATTTTATAATTTTTCAATATTATAACAAAAGATTTCATTATAAAGGCAAGAATAGCTGACTCCATTATTCATGATTTTGTCGAAATACATCTTAACCATCTTTCAAACCAGCATTTAACTCTTGAAGGTTTTGGTCTTGAGTGTCTTAAACAATTGATAACATCGAATTTATATAATCAACCTTTTTTCCAGATTTTAACTGTTAATGATTATAAAAGATGTCGCATTAACATGTCCTTACCTCTTTACCTAGAATTTATCCAAAAAATAGCCCAAACAAATTTTAGCAAACGATCATCCATCCAAGGAGATAAACAGGTTCCCAAAAATGAAAATGACCAATTTCCCTGGAAATACGCAACAAACTTCTTAAAAATTCGCAAATTACCAAACACAGTGCTGACAAAAAACCAACAGTTATCCTCTCTTGAATCCTTTCAGGAGATAGAACTTATACTAGATACACAATTTTACGAAACTATTTTAAAGACTTCAAAAATATCTTCCTTAACCAAAAATGATTATAGTCCTGATTATTCGTTCATTAAAAAGACATCCTGGGTTATAGGGGCCAAAGTTTTTGCTCCCATCAAAAATAAGATAGCACTCGCTTGTTCCAATAAACAATCTACTATAGGACATAATTTTTCTTTCGATTCTCGTAATTTAGATATTAATCACTATAACAGAAAATTGTATAATAATGGAACCAACTTAACAAGTATCATAAATATAAATGATTCTCATCTGACCAATCCAAATGCATCCGATAATCATTTTATCGATTGTGATGATCCCATCATTGAAGAAGAGGCAATTACGGGGAGTAGTCATCCTGATGTACCGTTATACATACCGAATAAGAACAAGTCAGAATCTAAGGCAGGAACTAAACTTCAGCAAAAGCTTTCTGTTTGGTATTAAAATAGACTACTATTGAATATTTAAAAACAACGGGCATTATGCCCTATTTTCGTTTTAGAATTATTTTATTGATGCATGTATTATGACGAGCAATTATAATCACAATATTGTAAAGATATAATCCGGTGCTTTTGGTCTAATTTTTTTAATACCTAATATCACTGAATTATAATTGACCTGTAAAATGTGCTTCCATTAAATTGAATTTTTTTAATTTTAATCAGAATTTTATATTCTTAAAAAACATGAAAAATCCCAAATCCTAATATTTTGTTTTAAAAAATATCGAAATTGTTTTTTAAAATATTTATTACATCTTAAAGGCAGTCGTATTAAACATTTTATAAGTAATCCTCAAAAATCATAATTTTTTATAAAAATTATTTTAATAAATAAATTACGTTAAAAAATTATATATTAAAATAACGTATAAATTATTGCTAAATTGATATTTTTTTTAAAATGATTAGATTATAAAATATTGCGTTAACAACCAACCTCAATTTTCCGTATTTCAAGAAAAAAAAATGTATAGAGGAGCATTCCGATTCTTAGTCGATATCATTATTTAAAATATTTATGCCTTTACATTTTATATTTATTTATTAATTAAATATGTGATCACATTTATATGATAATCTATTTAGATAATTTCTTTTTTACAGTAATGAGAGATGAGAAATTTAGCATTGAGGATACTACATTTTATATTGCCTTATTAGAAAGATTAATTTTAGACTTTTTAGTTAGATTTTGCTTTTGAGCTACGATTTTTTATGGTTAACCAAAAATATATCAAATTAAATTTTAGTTTTAAAAGTATGCTATTCATTGTGCTTAATTTTACTACTGGTATAAGATAATATCAATTCAAATCACATATAAAATATGATATTTTCTGAACTACCAAAATTTTGATTTTTAAAAGAAATTATGTACATCATATTATATGAATAGAATAAGTTGGTTGGTAAAAAACATGTTTGATATATTAAGGAAATTATTATTTTTTATTTTGCTTTGCTATCTTTATCCGGGCTACATACCCCAAAATTAAGTAGTAAGTTATTTGAATCCAAATACGTCCTGTTTTGAGAATTAGCGATCTAAATATATGCATAAAATGCATTTACCAAAAGTATATTTTCATAAAAAAGTATATAAAATAGCGAACTTAACAATTTTAATCTAAATGAAAACAAAAAAAGGGGGAACGGATAATTTAATAAAAAAATGTGTAATATTAAAATCGAACTTAGAATTAAAAGAAAAAATAACCAATTAACAATTCAACCAGATTCTCATTCCATTTAAATCAATTGCAAGATTATCATAGCAATTCTGAATTATATATAAGTGAAATGGCTCATAATACTGACATACAAATAACTTATTCCAATTAAATTAAAAAATTTTAATCGCAAAAATGTAATCTTGATTTTTACTGTTCTAGCTATATTTTGTGCGGCTGTTATCCTTCTAAGTTTCAAGTACCCGGGATTTTTCGAAACGGCTTCACCTATGTTCTGATCGACCCAGGGGATAAGATTAGAGTTAAGGATATTGAGTATTAAAATATTGGGTATAAAGAAAGACTATCTTATTATCCAAAAAGTCAATTTAGCATTTGAAAGGTGTCCACCAGCTTTAATATAAAATAAGTGTAACTCCTTAAAATTAACCTAGTATTCGATAAAGTAGTTAGGTGTTCAGCTATAAAATAAAATGTTATGAAAAGTTAGTTAAGCGTTATATTTTTTTAAAAAAAATAAAATTGTCGCCAACCATTCCCCTAAAGGTGAGGAGTGATTTGCGCATTAAATGTTTCAATTTGAAATAAAAGGTGTGATAAATATCGAATTCTATAGCATTTTATCTTCGTTAATAATATTTACCAACCTAATCTGTCACTTTTAACTTAATTATTAATTACAAAATTATTTCAACTCTTCCTTTAATTAATTTAAAAAAGGATATCAATTTAGCGGCTTCAGCTTCGCCTTCTGCCTGAACAATTTTCTGTTGCTTTTCTTGTATGGCTCTCTCCACTACGAATGCTGCTCTTTGAGCCTCTTGTTGAGCTACCTACATTGAGAAAAACATTGATGATTTACATTTAGGAAAAAAGAAGATGTTAGAATATTGGGGAAATATAAATATTTCATTTTATTATATAAAGTAAAAATATTATGAATTGTACATATTCAAACTGGATTAAAATATTTTAAATTTGATCAAATCAAATTTTTTTATCTCATCTTTATTATTCTTATTTGAAAATTTTAATTAAATTTATAAATATTCAAATAATATTTTTAAGTAATAATAACTTTCATATAGGTATATTTTATCAAATTTCTAATGTTTTGGAGAAAATTACATGCTGACATGCTTTTAATTCTTTATGAAGTATTTGCTTAGAGGTATATAACGATTTGGGTTTTAGCTAGGCTGTACATACTTTTGGCTGTATGGGTGAACAGGTTAAAAATTTAAACAGTGAGCAGATTAAAAATGTTTTTAAAACATTGGACAAGGTGACTAGTTTATAAATTTAAACTATTTTTGGGGAAAAATGAAAAACGGGTTTATATTCATTTAAAAAATTTTTATTTTATAATATTGTATACATTAGAATAAAAAGCCAAACCAACTAATCAAATGTTAATACATTGAGCAGACAGCTTAAACAAATTTTTTAGTAAATAGGCTGGCGTGCGAGTCAATTACTTTACTGGCAGAGGGATGAGATTTTAAAATTTTAAACAATGGGCAGGTTCTTCCTTTAAAAAAGCCAAACTTTTTACATTCCAACAACTATGTGCTTTCGGATTTATAACCCATCCATTACTGACCTCTAGATAGACTATCTTAATGATCTAAGTTACAATTTTTTTGATGATTAATAATTTATTTGGAATTTTAAAAATTACAATGTAACTTTATAAAAAACAAAGTACAGAAAAAATTATTTTATATACGAGATAAAATTTAAAAAAAGGAAAATTATGCTTTAAAAAGGGAGGAGCGTAATTAAGAAAAGCATAATTGAATCCCTAAAAAGGAGCTGCATTTATATCTTTCGATTTATATTTTGTCGTATAAGTAGATTGGGTTCCAATGTTTGAATTCAGATTTTATGAGTAAAGTTTTTTTAAAAAAAATAAAGGCGTTTGGAGTAAATAGTGCATTTATAGATGTGATTATTAGGGCTGTGCCGGATTGACACCGATATTTAGCGTTTTCCAAAAATATCGGATCGGGTCGATACCTGTTAAAACCCGATCCGATCTTTTTACTTTTTTTTGTTATTTTATTTTATGTTATGTATATTTATTTTACATAATATTTTCTAAATAATTTTTTTTAAACAATGCAAATGCATAACACCTAGAGAACTGCACGGGCTGTCCGTAGCCCTACCCGAACCTCGGGTCGGGTTCGGACATTTAAAAAAAAATTTCTCGGGTTCGGGCTCGGGTTGTAAAAGCTGTCCGACCCGAAAATAAATAATAATATTAATATCTTAAATAGTCAGTATAATTTATAATATTATTTATAAAATCATACTATTTAATATTTATCACATTTTAGAATTAAAATGTCAATCATATTAACATGTCATGTCATGACATTATTAATTATTATTTTTTAAACCTAACAACCGGATACCAAACTATTTTATCACTAAATTGTGTGTTTCCCGTGAATTATAAGATAAGACATATTATATGTACTAAAGATAAGTTTTATTCATTATTTATTATTTATCTAGCCTATACATTGTCTTTTTTAGCATTTGTTTTAAAAAATTTCCATATAAAATTTAAGATTGGGATTTGATTCAGGGGAACTTACTTCTATAATTTAAATTTCACTAGCATAAATGTTAATCATCCTAGAAATTAAAAAATATTATATAAAATTGGTAATGATATTCTAAGTTACATTTATATATAAAATATAATCTTTACTTATTTCGTTTTGGTATTATTATTTTTTTATCTATCTACCTTAATATGAGTTGTAAATTTTCTAGCTAATTTTGGTTGTCAATATTTTAAAATATGGCAGAAAAAAATTAGGAAATAAATACAAGATTCTCAAAGAAAATAAGATGTATACTGTGATATATAAAATTTAAAACATGAATATTAAAAAGAATCTGTATCTGTATCTTTTGTCAAGAAATTGAAAAAGATACAAGATTCTTTTCAGAATTAAGGATCTTAGATACAGATATTAGTAGTTATTAAAAATGTCAAAATATACTGAGTACAAGATATAAAGGGATCTTGTATCATGTATCTTAGATACAAGTATTCGCAGTACTGCCCAACTCTGTTTATTTCAATCTAATTGATTAAAGTCATTTTAAATATTTTTTTTAGATTTTAGACACAGCCATATTAAAAAAATTATCTCAATGGATGCAAAATTAAAAAGAATTGGTGAAAAGATTAAGACAAAAGAGTATGAAGTAAGGGAGAATCTTAATGGAAAATCCGATGTATGGAAGAAATTTTCATTTATATATGATGAAAATAAAGAAAAGCTTAATTATGTCATTTGTATTAAATGCAATATATAATTCAATAACAACAGGTTAAATATTTATACATAAAATATGATCTTATTAAATTATTTTAGGCACAAATCAACTTAAAAGACATAAATGTGTATATACAAATACAAGTACAACAGCAGAGAGTAAAAAGACACAATTAACAATTGATAGTCTTTTTGGTACTGATCCGAAAAAACTCAAAAGTTGTACAAAATTGAAAAAAGAGTGCACAAAGGTGCTTACTATGTTTTGTGGACGTGATTTGAGATCATTTGATATAATTCATGGGGAAGGCTTTGTTGATTGTTGCCAATATTTTGCCAAAAGTATTTTAGCTCTTAAATTCCTGGCTATCCCTGCTTCGTCGGCTAGCAGTGAAAGGGCGTTTTCAGCTGCTGGTAGGGTCTTTGAGGAGAGAAGGACTCGTTTAAAGCCAGATAAACTGGACGCCTCTTTATTTATATATCATAATTATTCACTTTGTGATAATTTTGATAATGATATTGATGAGGTCAATATAATATAATATGTTCATTATATTTTTTATATATTTATTAACTTTTATATCATATCTATATTTGCATAAATGATGCTTATTGTATTATATAATCGTTATAATTTTTAAATTCGCTTGTATATTAATCGTTTTATAATATTTTTTACAAATTTAATAAAATGCAACTTAATATATATCTTGAATAGATTATGGCCGTCAAATAAACTTTTATTTAAGGTGGCTGAACTGAATAAATACACATAAATTTTTTTTTGGCTATTATAATATTAAAACTTAAATTGCAAAATTTTATTCGGGTCGAGCTCGGGTCGGGTTGGACTAAAAAATGTGTACTCGGGCTCGGGTCAGGCTCGGACAAAAAAATCTTTTAAATTCGGGCTCGGGTTGCGAAAAAATTACTTTGCAGTTCTCTAATAACACCCCTTAAATTTTATTTATTTTTTAAAATAGATTTATAATATTTTAAAAGTTTTTTTATAAAAATAGAAAGAACACCCAAAGTTTTATTTATTTTAAATATTTTTAAATAACGCCAATTTTATTATTTATATTTTAAAAAGAATTTTTTAAATATGGTATCTAAATTATGGAAATATTTTATTTAAAAAATCTAATATATTATAATTTTATATATTAAATATTCCAATTTTATAATTCATACCAACTGGATATATTATTAAATATATTTATTTTATCTATTATAATATAATTTTTAAAATTATTGTAGAAATAAAAAAATTAAATTAAATGCATCGATTTTTTGCCTAAAAAATATTGATTTCTTAATTACATTTGGTTCAAAGGAGGGGGGGGGGTGAGAAATCAATATAATTATCGGATCGGTTTTGAACCAGTATCGGAAAATATGTGGATCGGCAAAGCCCTATTTTTTTGTATTTATTTTTTTAATTTCTGATAGAATAGGGTGTTTTACTAATGAAAGTCGGTTAAAGTATAGCCTTATCAAGGGTGTAGGTAATACTTGCTTGGGGAAACTAGGGACTGCACTTTTTTAAAAAATTGCATATATTGATCATATTCTTTTCACCATGTGCTAATGATACTAATGGAATTCATGAATAAACAATTTAGAATATGAATTTGGTATTATGTGTGTAATTTATTAAAGTAACATTTATATCATTTTTAATAAATGACTAAATAAAAGAACAATTCATCTAAAATGCTAATTTTCAAATAACAAATCTCCAAGAAACTATTAGGAAAACTACATCTGAAAGAATAGCGTATTGTAAATATCTATTATAAAAATCCTCAAAAAATGTCAATCAAATTTAGCCAATAGTATTCTTTTAAAAAATATTTGTCCAATAAAAATCATTATATCTTATTCGGGCTAATGATAATATCATACCAAATTAAAACATTCATACACTTACCATTTCCTTCAGTTCACATATCAAAGCAATGGTATCCAACAACCAAGTATAATTTTTTCAGTTTTTTTATAATTATATTATTTTTTATAAATTAGATGCTTCAACAAAACCCAATTACCAAAATAAGAAAAAACAAACCAAGTTAAAAAGCAGAATAAGCAAAATGCATTGTTACCATCATTTCAGAGGTATGTGATGCTATATGGAAAACTTTAAAAGATATTCATATGCCAGTTCCAACAAGAGAACATTGGAAGAAGGTATTATAAATTTAGATATCAATATATTTTTAGATTGCACAAAAATATTTTGGGAAACATGGATTTCCAAACTGCCTTGGCTCATTAGATGGTAAGCACATATCTGGAAAACAAAGTGATGGTGGCACTTAGAAATAGTATTTTATATAAAAGTAAATTTTTAATATTAATAAATAATTTTTAATTATTTTAGAATTAGAAAAACCTATATCAAATAATATCATTGTCTGATCTAGCCTTCACCTTAAAAAACTTATAAAACCTTATCCTATGAAAAATACCAGTCCAGAAGTAAAACATTATAAGTTAAGTAGTGACTGAATGCACATTTGGTATAAGTACTGATAAGTTTGCCATTAATTCTAAAGCTATAAAGTGCTCAGTTGGAAATGCCTATAAAATATATTATTGATTATGATAAAATTGAATAAACACCTATATCATACCTATTCCTGAAAATTTAG